GTCTGAGGCGATATAATTTAAAATCGATGGAGCGACGTGGAATAAATTTGGCACCCTGGGCTGCTCGCTTTAAGTCCTAAGCCCCGGTGTTGGCGGGACGAAAGGGGGACAAGGGTGTTAACGTCCGGAGCAAACTTCAGTTAGATAATGATAGCGGTCCAGCACCTGAGCTCCACATGATGGAAGTTTTCACTTCCATCCTTTAACACTTTTACCCCGTTACCCCTTCTTTCCTGGATTAGATTGAAAACTTGACTTGTTAATATCTTACACGATGGAGAAAGTGATGTTTGGGGTTAATTTAGAGTTCACTTTATATTCGGTTTGATTGATATGTGAAATATTACTGATCGTGAAAAAAAAACTGTAATTTTGTTAATTGATCTTTGATATTATGTACATTGTTTGAATTTTGGGGAAAATGACGATGTAATTGAAATTGTAATTTTGAAGTAAATTTTATGAATTTTCATTTAAATTACATTATGTAATTCCAATGTAACTGAAATCACTTTGTACCGGAGACAGAACATATACGCTTTGTGTTTATATTAATTACTGTGGACATTCTTGATTTTTTATAAGACGGTATTTTAGAAAATATTCACTGTACAGGGATATAACATTTTCAGCAGTTTTGTTAGTTCGCCTTCGGCAAATTTTTTCGTCTTTTCTTTATGCTTTTGCAAAAAATACCCGCAAACAGAGTTTCCTGTAACAGAGACTTAAAAAAATGTAACGTATTTTATGTTTTTGTCACTTGGAATACAAACACAAACTTTTGCATTTAAATCGAGGGATTATTCATCTTTGAATAGTGGTCATTTTCTAAAATTCGTATTAAATATTGTCGAATATATTTATCGGTTACAATGCTGTATTATTCACCAGGGACTACTGAACTCATCAATAATGCATGTAATTACGTAAAAATTGCAAAACTGCGTTCAAGTGTCCAGCAAACGAGGTCCCATCGAATCCGTCATGTAGAAATGAACCAAAACGCAAACATTTGCGTGCGATATTGTAATACACACTGTGGTTATTTAGAAACGGTTGAAATTCTGCTGTCGACAAATATTTACAGAACAGCAATTATCCTTCACCACAATGAAAACATATTCTGACAGTTGCGTGTTGCAGCACTCAGATATCTGCGGTATCAAATGGATCGTTATAATCAAACGTAAAAATACAAACTGCAATCAATGACAGAAAAATGAAAACAATGGAAAACAATTTCGCGAATGAAATTCTCTTCTTGAAATTGGTTTTCACTCTCTTTTTTTTTTTAATAATTGCAAGCATTTCAAAGCTGACAGGTGTTATTCTTAAAAGGAATGAATTTCATAAAAAGAAATTATAGTTATGATTTTAGTGTGCCATTCCATTCAGAAGCATAACAAGTACTTAGAATAAGAATTAAGTATAGGTAGCATGAATGGCATTTTCAAAGAGGACTCAAAGCGAATGCGTATCGAGCGAATTCGTGCAATTAAAAAGAGAGAACAAGTTTCTAGAAGTTCAATCCTCGAAGTCGATCAATCTTCTTGTCAGAAGGATTTCATCTTCCGGAGGATATGCAAAGCAGTCGCCCAGCCATTCTTTGCGCACTTTATATTCACAAAACCGGAGCAGGTCCTCTGTCCATATTCCTATTACCTGTCTATTGCCCGCGAATACGTGAAGAGTCACGATATTCTGTTCAACGGCGAGAAAAAATGAAATTGAAATAAGCAAGCAACCATTAAACGTTCTCATTTCCGTAGAAACGATCTGGTGTTACGTTTCTCGTACGTGAACACCATCGATTTAAAATCAGTGTTTTGCGAGTTTAGCGAGATTAATTGCGATTCGATATAAAAACGAGAAGTTTATTGAAATTCTTACACTCAAGGGTGAAGAAACCTATTAACACGCCCGCAATTTGAAAAATCTTGTATTTTCTTCCTTTTGAATTAATTTGTCTGAGATTTAGAAAAATTCATCAAAATGGGGATCGAATAAATATATTACATGTACCAATAAGTGATCCACTATTTCTTTTTAGTAAACTGGTAACATAGTTTCAATTTAAAACATCTTTCTAGCCTTTTTGAATACTTGAAGCTGAATTGAAAAAATTTCATAACTATGTACGGGATAATACATTACTCCCGATTTATTAAGTCGTTCCATACTTAAAATTTTTAGAATAAATGTCGAGTGTCTATACTTTCCATTTTCGTGGAACGTTCTCTATATATTCTTTCCAAATCATTTGCAATATAACCTGTCAAAAAAAACTCCTGACTGCCATTTTTCACTTTATCCATTGCGTTCCTATTTTGTGTCCATTTGTAATCCCTTGATTGCACTTTTTAAGCTCCCTTTGACGCTAGCATACTGTAACAATACTCCCGTCATACAATACGTGCATACGTGATGTTTAAACCATTGAATTATTTTTCTTTCAAACCTTGGTCGCAAAACCTGACAAAAGAAAGACAGAACAGGTCGTTCTGTCACTCACATTACAAACTTTGTAAGGATGTCAAAGGTTCAATTTGTACAAATCAATTTTCCACACGAAACAGTTTTTCAAAAACAAGCGTGCTCGAAATTGTAAAGAAAAAGCTGTCGTTTTCAGATCACTTTTATTGAAAAAATCACTTTCAAAGCCCAACTAAGTATACTCTTGGTTGGAGTTTCATGAAGCCAACAAAGTGTACTCTAGTGATAAAAACTGCAATTCGTTTTCCTTTGTAAGATTGTTTTTCTACATCCCCACAGTCAGTTGTATAACAACCTGTATTTAATTCTACTGTATGTAAAGCAGAGATAAAAGCACTGGAAGCACAATTAATACATAAATACATTTTATGTCACATATTACAATTTCTTTCTCATAAAAAGTGAGTTAAACTTTCTAGTAATGTTAATAAATGTGAGTTTCAACAAAAGGTGTGTTCTTTTACTACAAAAGAATGTGTTGACCTTCATACGTCCTAAACCTAATAGTTAACAAAATATTATATTTACAAAATAACCACTGTATTGAAATCACTGTATTGAAGTTGAGGGGTATCAGTTCGAACACCTATAGCTTCCAGATAGTAAGTATGTATTAAAAATTATTTTGTAAATATTCTGTGGTTGATCTATGGTCCGAAAATGGGTCATTCCGTTAAAAAAAAGCAACGTGACGTTATAATCATTAAAATGCCTCCACCCACAAAAAAGCACGTACCTTATAAGATGTGCCTCTTGATGCCATTTAAGTTCCACGCCTCGAAATTTTCATAAAGTGCACGTTAAGTCATTATTCAAGGTGATCAAGTTATCTGAGACACCCTGTATACTGAAGCGTTTAATCCGTAGAGGCGTATCCAAAAGAAATAAAATTAACACTACACACCGAGAAGATAGGCGTATGAAATGACGCCCTGAATCCTGATCCACCGAGGCAAATGCGGCTCACTTCACGCTTCTCATTCTATTACTTCTCAACGCTGTCTTCCACGATTCACAAATAAAACAACCCTAGAACTTCATTTGTTTCTTTTCAATTTTATTCGTTTCTCGATTGAATTATTCGAATTACTCGCGATTATTACGCTGTTTCTGAAGAACCGAATATATATATGTACCTCGTGAAACGATCTTACGTAATTGAATAGTTCACCGCTACCGTTCGACGATCGTACGAGCAGCAGTATCGAGCACACCGACAGAGTTTCCGGAGAAATACGCGAAAGGCGGGGTTACAATTTCTGGTACGGTGAGATTTGGCAAAGTAAAGCATGCAGTCTCGTGGAAATCCATTAACAAGCCACCATTACAATTTCTGGCCGGGATTCCAGTAGGAACCATTCAATCCTACTTTATAGAGCACCGCTGAAACTTAATAAATTCGCGTATTGTCCCGACGGGAATCCCGAGATTTCGTCCTCGTCGGTCGGTTGTAACGATAGTTTATTGTTAACGATAACTTAATAGTCCCGGGGATTTGATACTTGTCATTGTAACGGACTACCAGCGAGCAACAGGTCAATTTAATCGCCGTCGCGACGTAACATTCCATTCGAGAGCATCAAATTAAAAACACCACTTTCGCAGTCATTAAGTTATTGCAATAACGAGCTATCGACAGGCTTTCACGGAGCATTACCACCGCTTACCAGGGGACAGGCGCGTCGAAAAAATTTACCGACCCGATTTTATCGGTCTGCCGTTACAGCGACGCGACGGGATTGAGGACGCTCGTTTTTTCAATGCCCCTCGCTGTTTTGATTTTAAAACGAATAATATTATACGAGCCGTGATATACTGTCACTGCGTTACGTGAAATGGTGCTTTTCAGAACTGGTCATTTCTGCTGAACAGTCAAAGCTGTTCTTTTTGACTCCATACAGATGCTATGAAACAGGCACTACAAAATTTATGGGTAAACTTGAATTTAAAGAGAATGAAAAATTTGAAGAAACACGGAGAGCATATAGTAAATATAGTTACTATAAACTTTAGTAGAATTCTGGTTGAAAATGTTGAAGTAGTTACAGAAAGGATGAGTTTTACTGAACTTTTGTCAATACTATGTCAAAATATCGGAGATAAGTTAGAGATCAAGAGATAATGCAAAAAACAATTGCTTGATATAATTGTGTCAATCTTTGATGAATTTTAGTTAACAGCATAGGAAAATACTTGTATGTCTAGCTTCACCAATAACTCAAGAAAGTGTGTCAAATATATCATCTCAATACGACTTGAGATACAAGATTTTTTCTGAACCTCTAAATATCTCAAAAGCATAAATAGCATTACTGCTTTCCAGGGTCCATATTGCAAGCATACACTTTGTAAGTCTACCATATTAATATCAGTTCCCGACTATAGCTTCTAAAATTTACCTACAGATTTTGTGAAATGATTTCAGATTCGTTTTACATACAAAAAATACTTAAATCTTGTGTTGCAATGAACGAAAGCCTGAACCAAATGTCTAATTTTTGTTGCAGATCTTCCAACTACGTGAACGCGACAAAACAGTGCGAACTCTCGGACATGGACCGACTGACCGTTGCTGGATCCAACGCTTTCCAATCCGCTAAAGGCTACGACTACTTGGAAAATCACTGTGTGGACGATGTTGCCATTCTTACGATTACGGTGATACTGGTGACATGGTATGCCGTCTCAGCCATCACTCCAGGGCCACCCTTTCTGACATTCAGGTAAGAAATTTTTACCAAGACTGTGAATTAGTACTCGATTTTCGGTTATTAAGGATGGTGTATCTAATTCACATTTTGCATTACGCAATTTAATTATAATATTAAATGCGCCAACAAGTAAGCCAGTATTGTTCTGTAATTAGGAGGCGATGTATTTTTGAAATTAAAAATGTTCGATGCTTTTTACTGAATGGAAACAGCGCCGAATCTTGAAAAATATTTAGTAATACAAGAGAAACAGTATTGCCTTCTGACTGTTTTCATACTTTTAGCCGGTAGTGTATATTATTTTCTTCCGCAATGTTGTTTAGAAGTGTAAGAATTTACATTGGAACATTGAAAATCTAGGATATAAATTGACAATATTACTTACAAAGCAACCGAATACCCAAAAAGAAGAATTAAATAGAAATTTGTTTCATATTATTTAATTCATTGATTAAAAATTCCTTTATAGTATTATTCCATACGTGTCTATCTTAAAATTCCCAGTTTATATCCGAGGTAACGTAGTTTGCGCTTGATTCCGCGCGAAACGAACGGTGCTGTTCGTCTCTGAAGAAATATTGAATAAAGCATTTATCAAACAGATTTCATAGAGGGAAACGTTGTTTCGCGGCCGTTAAATCACGTTGCGGTGAAACTTACTTTAATTCATATAACATAGCGGAGTAAAACAATTCGACGTCAATCCCGGGCTAGAATTCGCTTAGAAATCGTAGACCACACATTTCACACGTTCCACTCTCGCCCCCCACGTACATACTCTTGAAAGGGCCGGTAGGGATTTTCTGTAAACCTGATTACACCGCACACGTGCGAACCGGGTCGAACAATTCGCCGGGAGCGCATTCGTGGAAAATCGAGTTTCCATCGCAGATGCTTACCCTATCGAGCCTGTGGGTGGTTCTTCAGCTCGTGCATACGAGAGAACGCCACCGCCTCATACTCCCCTCCGGGTAAAGTCAAGACAAAGACTTTTCTTCTCTCCAACCTGTTGAAGAATCAGTTCACCCTATTTCTGCCTAGCGTTTCACGTCGAACCGAATCACTTGTATTTTTAACATTTTCATACACGTGTCACGACGCTTCCCGTCATACTTCATGGCATCGTATCGATCATCGCAATAGCATTTTAGAGCGGTCGAAGTGGAACTGTAATCGTAGTTTGCTTAGACATGGTCCGTTCCAAAAATAACCAAACTTTTTAGAAATAACGAAACACCGGCAATTACCAGACATAAATGTTTGCATTTCATTCAAAATACATTTCTTTTGCGACGATACAACGATTTACATGGTCAAATAATCTGTCGGACGAGTGCTCTGTGTCCTTTAGTTTTGCACTGAAATATAATCTGAGCAACGCTTTTATAAATATTATCATTAGAATATGTCACATTTTAATTCTACCGAAAGTACGAAAATACTTCGTACCCGCTGGTGAATTACAGAGTAATGACATAAAGAGGACAATATTCCGTTTCCGCGAGTGGAAAATATTAGCACCGGTCGACAGTATCACATATTCTCTGTTCCAATGTAAATTCCAGCGAGAATTCAAAAACGCACAAAGTAACTGGCTCCCACGAACGGCTAAATTATCATTCTGTATAAAAAATATGTCTGGTAATACATTTCCGACGTTAATAATTTTTTATTCGTGTTTGAAGGTAGATATTACCTTTTCCTATATGCGTTTCGGAAACATTTGTAAATTGAATCTTTCTGCTCGACAATTTTGACGAGGCATCGTAAAGAAATTAATAACGAAAAAATTCTGTCCCATATCCATAAGGCAATTCGATACAGAAAACATTTCATAGAATACCGAAGACTTGTTAATTCGCTAAGTGCTGTCTCGTACTACATCGGAAAAAATTTGTTCGCTGTCATCAGGAACCGTACCTCGATGTACCAGAGGGATCAACGTACGAGCTGAGCTCCTGCTACAACGTCACCATCGACTGTCGTGCCGGTGACATGGTCACAAGGATCCAGACTAGCAAGCTGTTCTACGGCAAAGTTTACGTGAAGGGATCGCCGAACTCGTGTGTACAGGACGTGAAGGGTGCCTTGGAGTTCGAGCTCCGCATGGCGTACGACGATTTGGAGTGCAACATCAGACAACAGGGCCTGGGTCGTTACCTGAACGACGTCGTGATCCAACATCACGACACGATCGTCACCAGTTCCGATCTCGGGTTGGCCGTCACCTGTCAATACGATCTAACGAATAAAACGGTGTCGAACGAAGTCGATCTCGGTGTGCACGGTGACATAACTCCCGCCCTGTCCGAAGAAGTGATCGTCGACTCGCCGAACGTAGCCATGAAGATCACCGACCGCAGTGGAAACGAAGCCATCCCATCGGCCGAAGTAGGTGATCCCCTGGCTCTGAAGTTCGAGATTCTCGATCCTAACAGTCCTTACGAGATCTTTGTACGGGAACTGGTGGCCATGGACGGCGTCGACTCCAGCGAGATCGTCCTAATTGACTCGGACGGTTGCCCCACCGATCATGTCATCATGGGACCACTCTACAAATCGGCTACCACTGGCAAGGTAAGCTCCTGCTCAATGGTTATGATCATGGTCCTTTTGTTATATGACTCTACGATGCTATGGGAACCATAGAATTAGGTATTTAACGTTAACTTCAAACTAGTCGTAATGGAATAAGACTTAGGGCGAAAGGTGAGTTGGTCGGGATCGTGAAGAGAACAGTTTCAAAGTTAGCTGCTAATGAAAGATAGTGTTACTTATTGAACGAGTAAAGTGGAGTCCAAGAACATTGGATCATACAAAAATAACACCTAGGTTCTCTAACAGGACCTATTAGGTTCCTCTACTCAAAAGACTTTCTAAGGTCTAGAATCTCTTCTAATCACCAGAACTTCACTACTTATTAACATTCGTGTAATTTCCTAAGTTTAAAATTTCCCTCTATGGCATAAAGAAGTTCAAACTATTAGGTCTCATACTAGCTGTTCTTCGCGTCTGTTTCGCAAGATTCAAATGTTTCCACCCAGTCAACTCTTAGGCTGCGCGAGAGAATTGAGGATAGTTTGATTACAGCTTGGCATACGTAACGTAGCAATAGGCGGAACGCCTAATAAAACCGATCAACACCGATAACATCGATACGTGGTTACAGACCGTTTATGAGAAAACGCGCGACGCTGTTTTACATTGATGCACGGGGGTGGGAGAAAGAGGGAGAGAGAGGAGGTCGAGGTTGGAAGAAGCCACGAGTCAACCAGTTAGACCAACTTCATGCTAATCAATCACTCGGACGGATTTTACGACGGGAAGCAATTTGCTCGTGCCGTAATAGGTCGCATCGCTGATGCGCCGCCGTCTTAGCGATGACGCGTCATGATGTGCTTGCGGAGGTCGAGTTTCCTCCGAGAGCTGGTCATTACTTTCTACGTGTACCGTGATGTTCGCTGTCGCTTGAAAATTCCTGGAGCAAATACTGTCTTCTTTCTGTTGTCACGGAACGCCTTCCTTTTAGGTGATTAACAGACAACACAAGCCCCAGGCGGGGAGAAACAATTTCTGGGGGTAAGACTGAATGCTAAATATAGGAGCCAATCTAAATTCTGTATAAAAATTAGAACAGTGTCTATTCTGGGTTATAATGAGCTGTGTATTAAGAAATTGTCCAAAGCATTGTATTCGATGAAAATGATTTTATCCGAGACAGACTTTGAGGGATTATTTCGACGGGAACAGAATTTATGGTGCACTTCTTTTACTGAGAAAAATTGGATTATTTAAGAAGACGATGTGATTTACTTGGAAAGTGGAAAATATTAAATCCCTCTCATTTGTTAGATCTTGTTTCTGGTAATTTTATATTACACGGGATATAAGGCTGGCTTTGAAAGTCAGACAATATTGGACTTTAAAGTTAATATAGTTTTAACGGAGTAGATGTTATTAAAACGGTTCAACGTAGTAGAATTAAATAATTTAACATAAGATTCGGTGTATATATATATATATACTTCAGTCTTTTCATCAATAGTAATTTTTTATAAACTGAATAAAATAGTAAATTTGTAAATTACAATTTAATCAAAATCCTTTTTAATGTTAAAATGTTTCATATTTTCTTATTAGAAAGATGTGTACCATAGAAAATATATTCTTAGATTTATAACTCGAGTAAAATGTTTTGTAAGTTTACGTACAACACGATATAATGTAAAGTTTTTTGAATTATTATTCGACTTTTTTCATTTTGACACTTATTCCGCGGTACAGCGGTACTTGAAAGTGTGAGCATATAGCTGATTTAGAACTGAATTTTATTACGTCACGAGGAAAGGTGTGAAAGCAAGTTCAGGGTAGTGGCAACGTAAATAAAATTCCCTCGGGCTACCTCGACCCATGTGTTCCACTTACGAGTTAATACAATATCACTTACAACGTACCGCGGAGACGTTTCCATTTTGATCTTCGTTTCTAAAGCAAAAAGAAGCGAGAAGCGATAAGTGAGAAAATCAGAGCTCTACTGAGTGCATTGAAATAACCACTTCCAGCATATTTTTACATTCCACTTAATAAAACGGTATCTATGTATTAACATCGTACAAAACTTTGCTCTGTATTTGAGGCTCTGAAATCTTTACCAATCTAAATTACGTTATCATGTATATCACGTATTATTATTAACATTCACGTATGTGAATTGTCTCACAAAATATTTGACTAAATCTACAAACCTTAATTACACAGGTAAATGTTACATTTTAAATAGAACTTTAACCCTTACCGCGTATCGCTTCCTCAGACATAGGTTTGGAAAAACAATTTATGGTTTCGACGTTCCTTAGATTCGTATCTGCAAAAACTAACGGATTGGTGAATTCTAGACAGAGATAGATTCGCTAAAGAGAAGATGAAAAGTAGTCGAACACGTTCCTGAGCGGAAACCGAAAGATGAATGGTGTTATTCGTGTAACAAGAATTCAGACATTCGTATGATCATGTTAACGTGTCAAAATAGTGCTGATTTATCAATGCGATGTAATTGTGGATGTCAAACACAGGGTTTCCGGCTGTGACGGTAAATCATAGGGAATAGACTGATTGTTGCGCGTAATGTTACATATAATTTTCAATAAAATGACAATAATTGGTTGTCAAGTATTAAGTTTCAAAACAGATCGTTTCATTAGTGGGATACTTAAGAGATCGTCTTACAATTTAAAAAATTATATGATTACTTTTTCCGAGCATAAAATCTATTTAGAATCTGATTATCATGAAAAATATTTTATATGATCTCTTTTTGTAATCTTTGTATTAGTTTCGAGAAAACACTATTTGTTCGTCATATATTTTAGATACACTGAAAAAATTAAACGTATTAACTGAATAGTATTAATGAGGCACCTTAGAAAAACAAAAACGTATTGTAATATTTCAGCGAAATGTAACGAATCATTATTGGTTAACTACTACTTTATATTAGGTAGCAGGAAAGATTTCTACGAAACTGAAGCGGAAATATAGTTTGTTTCAATCATCAAATCCTAACGACGGCTAATGACAGCCGACCGTCTTAACGAGGTGAATGATCATTGATCCAGCGATGATCATTTCTTCTCTATCTGCTGTGACTGACAGCATGGAATTACCTTGAAGATTGTTACCGCACAAAGATACAATTTGTTCGGAATCGTCAGGGATCGTTACTTCTTGAAAATTGTCAGAATAGCAGCTAACTAGGTTGAGTTCGATTGATTTTAAATGCTCTAATGAAGATCCACCTATATACACCCTTATATGAGAATCATAAATTGTTTGCTGTATTTTATATTTTCCAAGTACATTACTGTATCTGAATCAAATACTCGTTATAAGTGACAGGACAATAGCACGTTACTTCAAATCTGAATCAATACAGAAACAATTAACAGAACAACCACAAGGAGAACAATTGAACGTAGAAAACTTGATCGAGAACGTGTAATTGAATTACTTCGTTTGAAGCTTCGTTCCCAGCAAAATCGAATTTGACAATTAGTCATGCACACGTGCACTTGAGTAATATGCCTAAATTACTGGTGATTTCTACTCGTGCTAATGCTTATAATCATTGTCACTGCTATAATATCATTTGATTTTCAATTGTAATAGAAACACTGGGAAGCAGGTTATTATTAGACTGTGTATTATATGCATTTATATAATATCCGATTATCTAAAACTCAGTATAGTAAAAAATTTTGAAAGTTTATTTAAATTTCCTTTTTATTTCAAACATATTCGAAACTTCAACAGAGTAAATAAATTTTTCTCTGCGTAAAGTTTCGGGAGATTAATCCGTCAAATGTTACATTCGCATAAACATCCGCAGCCTAGTAATCACCATCAATGCTTATTCTAAGTAGAAAGAGCAATTAATAGTCAGACACCGTATGACACGTATCTGAAGCACAAGTGTTCGACAAACATTCCAACAGACATTTCCTCCTACGCAAGAATGTCATTCCACATGTTCGACCAATTTCTACACCAGTAGAATCTCGATCCCTGTAGTATAATCGTAACTTCGCCCGGTATAGCGATTGTTCATCGAACCAAGTTTCCAATAAACGTTTCAAGCAACTGGTCCAGCGTTTTCGAAGGTTAACGTCCCACGGATCCCGTTGATGGTTCATCCGTCGACGAGTAAAACAAACGGATCGTTACGATAGTGGCAGGCCAGGCACGAGAATTCGCGACGGGGCTACGGAGGCGGGCGGGGGAGGGAAGAAGACAACAAGAGGCATACCGCCTCGTTAACTCGTCGTTCCACATCATTTGCTCGCGCGAGCTCGGCCGGTCTGCGGAGCAATATCGCTTTATTAGAAAGTAATAACAGTCCACGGGCTGAAAGAACGGGCAAATTTATACCCGTTAATCCGGAAAAGACGGGCCCCGTCGAGATATATCACCGAGTCGTGTGCGCCACGACACACCCCACCACGCGATCCGTAACCCCGCCTCCCTATTCGTACCACGATCTCTCGTACACCGCACGCCGATTCTGCAGATCACGCGAGCTAACCTCATTTCCTCCCCAGACTTGTCCAAGTAACGAGGTCTGGCTGAGGATCTAGGAATGGCCGGTTGTACGTGCCCCCTCGTACACAGGAAATTACAATTCGTGGAACAAGAATCTAACGAGAAGAAGGCACCGCGAGCAACGAGACACCGCCGCGCCACTCCGTAGACGCTTTGACGGCCATGCGGTAGGACGGTGTTTACCTGTCGCGAACCGGGAGCGATAAAACCTCTGTCCGGGACACGGTTGATGTATCACACGCGATCGACTGAATGTTCAATCGTGACGAACATCACGGTATGAGCGTGACGTGATATTACGTCTGTGCAAACGTCCTGGTACCATTATAAATTGATGGCATTCACGGTCATGGAAAACTGAGTTTACGATATATTCATGGCCACCTAACACTTTTGCTATCTAAAAATTTATACCTGTAATTCATTCCACGTGTAACGAACCGTACTTGAATATTCAGGAAGTTGGGGTAAATGGATCCCGT